TATACCACTATTAAAATGAAAACTAAGTGATCGCTGCCTTGTAATGGAATTCTTAAGAGCCTCATGCAGCCCTCTCAGACCTGCTTCTGGCTGTGCTTCAATCTCGTGTTTTTCACTTCCTTGCCTGAACTCCTCAGCAGTGGTTTTGTGAATTGTGACATATCTAATATGCTTCATCCTGAAAAAAAATTACTGCTTTATCTTTATTTCCTAGCAATCTGACAATTCTACAGTAAAACAAATTAAAATTTCAGACTCTGCACAAGCACTCAGTCTTTAGAAGAACCTTTCATATTTTAATCTGAATTATATGTTCTGATCACTAGCTAAGGTCTATGAAGTTAAAAAAAAACCTTACACTACAGTATTATTTAAGAGGCATATGCAGCATGATTTGTTTTGTGAATTGGGAACAAGTAGAGGATGCCAGAAATCTTATAACCATACCAATGTACTTAATACACAAAGAGAGTGAGTTGCACACATCTGGAGTTTGTAAACGTTCTTTGGGCACAGCATAGTCAGGAACTCAATACATGCCTGCCAAGAAGGGGCTCTCCATGGCCCAGCAGCAGCACTGTGAGCTCAGCACTGAGCCGGTCAAGTGCTACCCCTTGTTTACATGGGACATTTGTAGGAGCAGCCAAGCAGAACCTTCAGCTGCAAATGCTCCTCCGAGGTACAGGGCATGTTTCCCCTACAAACCAGCTGTATGACTGTCAAAGGATTGGGCCACAGGGGCAGAAATGTACCTTAAGCCATTCTGCTAGAAGTCTCTGTCACTATGGTAAAATATTGACACATCAGAAATACACTGGAAGGCACTTCTGATAGCTCAGAAGACTGTCAGGTGTGCAGAAGAGCATGAAGAGCCCAGAAGCACTTGTGTGCTCTTTCAGTGCAGAAGGTCAACTGTATCCTGAACTGCATCAGAAGAGGGGTAGCCAGCAGGCAGAAGGAGCTGATTTTGTCTCTCTGCTCTGCTCTTCCGAGGCCCCATCTGGAGTTCTGTGTCCAGGCCTGGAACTCCCAGCACAGGAAGGATGTGGAGCTGTTGGAGTTGGTCCAGAAGGCCATGAAAATGATCAGAGCACCCCTCCTATGAAGACTGGCTGACAAAGCTGGGGCTGTTCAACCTGGACATGGCTCTAGGGAGACCTCACTGCAGCCTTCCAGTACTTAAGGGGGGCTTATCAACAGGAAGAGGAGCAACTTTCTACATGAGGGACAAGGAGAAGCGGCTTTAAATTAAACAATGGGAGACGCAAATTAGATGTTAGGAAGAAATATTTTACTCAGAGGGCTGTGAGGCTCTGGCACAACTGCCACAGCTGTGGGTGCCCCATCACTGCAGGCGCTCAGGGCCGGGATGGATGAGGCCCTGGGCAGCCTGAGCTGGTGCAGCCCACGGTAGGGGTTGGGGCTGGTGGGCTTTAAAGTCCCCTCCAAGCCAAACCATTCGCTGACTCCACGATAAGCCCGTAAAGAGCCCACAGACCCGCGGACCGCTCGCGCGCGGTGTCGGGGAGGAGCGTTCCATTACCTGCTGCACGCCGGCCGCTCCCGCGTACAGGTCGAGCACCAGCAGCAGGGGCACGTGGGCGTTGCAGCCGCCGAACAGCCGCGGAGCTGCGGGAACACGGAGAGCTGCGTTAGGGCCCGGCGGAGCGGGGCCGGGAGGGCGGGAGGGCAGCGGCCGCCCCTTACCGCTCTGCCGGGTCGCCAGCTCCAGCATGTCGCTCAGCGTCTGCGCCAGAGTCTCCGGCCGTTTCCTCTCCTGAACGTTGCGGAGCCGGACGAGCAGCTTCCTCAGCGCCTCCTCCTCTCCCGCCGCCGCCGTCCGCTCCCAGGGGCAGCCGCTGGCCATGGCCGCGTCGCTGTCCCCCGCGCCGGGCGCCTCACCCCATCCGACGCGGCCCGTGGGGACGGACAGCGAACGACGCGGACCCGTCCCGGCGCGCACGCAGGGCCACGCAGGGCCGCGCGGCGTCACCCGGCCTCACCCGGCTATTTCAGTTCGCCCCTCCCGCCGCCCGCCCCGCGCTCCGGGTACACGGCCGGGGCCAAACCCCGCGGGCGGGAGGGAGGGAGGGAGGTGAGGAGCGAACGCCGCCGCCACCAGAAGGGGGCTCCCGCGAGGGCTGGCGTGCTGGCGGCCCACTCTTTTGCAGTGATTGACAACACGAGCGTCCAATAGAATGGCAGAGCGGCGGCACCGCCCCGGCTAAAAAGAGAGCCCTGGCGGGTGCGCTGCTGATTAAGGGTGCTGGGGTCGTTTGGTGGTGCTTTTTTTTTTTATTATTTATTTTGGGGGGGGGGGGGGGGCGGGGAGCGTTGTTTTGTTTTTGTGTTTTTCTTCTTTAGCGTGAGGAAGGCAGCATTGCTATGTGGTAGCTTACACAGCAGGGAAGGAGAAGGAGGCAGATGTAGTTAACCTGCTTATTCCCTGGATGAGTGGCAGGTCTTGAGATCACCTGGTGTCTCCTTGTGTGATGCAGCGTTTGGGGATGTCCTTCTCTAGGTCTCTGTGTAGAAGGACTTGGGTGTACTGCTGCACAGCAGGTTGGCCATGAGCCACCAGTATGATGTTGTGGTCAAGAAGACCAATGGTTTCCTGGAGTGCATTAAGGAGAGTGTGGTCAGCAGGTTAAGGGAGGTGACCCCCCCCTCTGCTCTGCCTTGCTGAGGCTGCAGCTGGAGTGCTGTGTCCAGTTCTGGGCTCCCTTGTGCAAGAAAGAGTGTCCAGCAGAGGGTTGCAGAGGTGACTGTGGGCCTGGAGTGTTTCCCTTATGAGGAAAGGCTGTGACCTGGGGCACATCCTGGAGGAGACCAGGAAGGGATCTTATCAACACGTAAAAATATCTGAAGGGCTAGAGTCAAGTGGATGCAGCCGGGCTCTTTTCAGTGGTGTCCAGAGACAGGAGAGTGGGTACAGATTGGGATGTAGGAAGTTTTATGCAAACGTGGAAAAAAACTTCTTTGTTGTGAGGGTGACAGAGCACTTGCACAGACTGCCTGGAGAGATTGTGGAGCATCCTTTTCTGGAGATTTCAAAGGCCATCTGAGCACTTTCCTTATTTTCCTGTGTGGCTCACTGTAGGGAGCTTGCTTCAGCAGGGTTTTGGACTCAATGATCTCTAGAGGTCTGTTACAATTCAATGATTCTTCTTGGTGGAACATGGGGTGGGAGCTGAGGCCTTTCCTCAGCCTCCAAGGTGAGGCTGCTGTGAGGCAGCTGAGATGATGCCGAGGGCCTGGTGGAGCAGGTTAACCTTTGCCAAGGGAGGCAAGTGCTTGCAAGTATTTTGGCCCCATGGGCTTGGTCAGGTCTGTGGGTTTGCTTAAAAGAAACCTTTTGTTGCCTGTAGAAGTAAAATTTCGCTCCAAGCTGTGCAGGGAGAGTTTGCGATTCTGAGATAAGAAAGTTCTCCTGCCCTGAGCATGCATTGCTTCACTTGTGGTTGATGCAATCTTCCTGTAATCTGGCAATGCTTCCGGCACCTCAGCCGCTTTACTGAGGGAGCGGTATGTGGGCAGCAGGCTGCCAAGTAAATAACTAAGAAAAGCATTACGAGTGGTGTAAGTTACATAGAGGAGTTGTATGCTCTTTGAATATTAAGGGAATAAACTTCGCAATTAAATTGGAATTTTCTTAGACCAAAGTCCAGTTTGGCAGTTCGTGGTAGGAGTATGGGTTTACTTGAAGCTTGTGCTCAGATTAGTGTTTGATTGATAGAAATGTGCAATATTGATTGAACAGCTGATTTACAGGTCATTAGTTTTTTCAAAATAAGCTCTAAGCAGCCATGTTTGCGAATGCTTTGAACACTCATGGTGCTGGTGTATTGGTCCTGGAGGGCTCAGACATTGCTGCCCTCATCTGCACAGAGAAACTATTGTCTTGGCATCCCAATTATAGTCTGCTAATTAGGGCTCAGTTTGTTTAGTGATGAGCTGGTAGTATCTCCCTCTCTAAAGCACTGGGAAACAAAATGCGAGGTAGCCTTATGAAATAGTGACTGATAGTTTGAGATGTGTGGAACTCATTGCATCTGGAATAAAACAAAAATAAGATGAGTGAAACCAATCCATTTAATTCAAAAGAAGTTTTTTCTTACTGCAAAACCATTAATTCATGCATAAATAATAACTTTTAAATCAAGAAAAGATATTCTAAGCTTTTTTTTCTTGCAAAACAAATGCAAATCCACTGTCTCTGATTTTATCAGTAATTGGCTTTTTCCAGAACCTGCCAAGCTGTAGCCTCTATCAGACTTCAACAAAAGATTTTTAAAGGTCAATCTTTGGAGTTAATGCTGGTCAGAAATGTCACCTTTAAGTTTTAGAATCTCTGCAGTTACAACTAATGATACTGATAAAGTCATGTTAATACAACTTTCAAATACTGAAAGGGATTTTGTGGCCATTTTGTAAATTCAGCTGAACTTCCTTCTGGCTGTGCTGCTGCTCTGGATTTCTTTACATTGCAGTTCATATAAGGATGCAATGGTATAAGTTACATTCTGGAGTGTCAGTGGATCTAAGTGACATAAATTTGTGGCTTTAAGGAAGTAAGTTCTCGTGTCTTGGTTGCTGTCCACATGTATGTGTTGAGTTTCTGCTCTTCTGCATTTAAGAGCCTTGTGTGCGTCAGCTCTTTTCTGGTCAACTCTACTTCAAACAGCTTTCAGTGGTTTAGCAAACTTCAAGCTTGATTATTCGGTAAATGAAAAGAGAAAGCAGATATTAAAGCTCAAATGTAATCTTGATTCATACTTTAAGAGGTTTTTTTTTCTGTTTCCTAAGGGATCTCAGGTTCAGTTCTTCAACATGTCCTATTTGTGTATGTTTCTGGCACTCCCTAAATTCCAAATGATTTTCACTTCCAAGCACTTGTTTCCTTAAGTGTTTTTTAATGAAACTGGGATTGTTTAGCACCTGGCTCTGTCTTGAGGCTGGGTGCTTTGGGTGTACAAGTTATTTCTCCTTTTTGTTTTTAATGAGACTGACAGCTAACTGCTCTGTCTGTGCTGCTGTGTATTTATCCTCCTGGATGGGACCTCTAATACCCATTCGGTAATGTATTATCTCTGGAGTGTGACCATTTAGACAGATAGAGTGACATAACAATGTATTAATATGGAGATTAATAAATTTTTCTTTCTGGTGATGTGTAGAAGCAGATCTCAACTTCCAGCTTTTGTATCATAATTGGAAAAAAAAAAAGCATGGTGTCAGAGAGCAGTGGAGATTTGATAGTCTTGCTCAAATGAGTCTGGGGATCGTGGTGTAAATGGGATAAGTACAATTTTAGGTTCCCCTACTTTCCTGCTGTAGTTTATGAACACTTGAGAGCAATGCAGAACTATGTGAAATACTATATTGAAGACTGAGATTTGGTTTTCAGGAAAATATAAGGCAATGTGAATGTTTGGGTTTAGTTTGATTATTGTGTTTTTGATTCTTGTACATCAGGAAGTCTTTTTTTCTTATTTGTCACCTGATTTCAGTGGGGAAAATAGGAACCTGATCACACTAATCACAGTACAGCCACTCTCAGTTAATCTAAGACTGTGGGACTGCATTTAACAGCTGGTGTGTTTGAACCCCATTGTTTTTACCCTGACTCACCTTTGTAGTTAGTAACCTCCGTTTCCTTTTTTAAACTTTGTGTCACTGGCCATGAGAGTCTAGAGATAGGGCTTGGAGTAGGCTCTTCGGTAGTGTGTCTGGTGACAGCTCATTCAGATAGAATCCAGGTGTTTGCTGGACAGATTTCACTTTGGGGCAGTGCATGGATGTGGCTGAGAGGCTGGTTGATCCAGGGTTTGATGTGGGACTGTGTAATAGGATGCCTGAGGAGCGGCTGCCACATTGCTGAGAAGAAACTTAACCAGTGAAGATGTAGATTCTTCTGAATATAACACAGAAACATTTATAGCCTGCCCTTTGTCAGAGGCATGATTTCTTGTAAGAAGCAAGTAGTTATTTCCTTATTCTGTTTGTAGGTGAAGCCATCAGTGTGATAGGGAAGGCTGGATTGCTGGAGAGAATCTTCTTGCAGTTGAGCTTAAATCTTAAATCTTAGAAAATGGGCTGTCATGGCTCAAACCCTGACTAACTGTGTGTTGGGGGCATACTCCTGGACCAGCTAAGTCTGTTATGTGTGTAATAGGAAATACTACTCTGGCTTCTTCCTCATTCTGTTTTAGTGGAAAGAAAATCTTGGCCATGAGAGTGCAGCCTTTAAGATAGACTTAAATGTTAGTCCACTTCTCATGTGCTTTTTTTTTCTTTTCCTTTACAGGGGCTGTTCTCTGTTCCCCCGGAGCTGTGGTGGATGTGGCTTCAACCTCCATGTAACACCGTGCCAACTCTTGCCTGTACCTTCTGAAAGCTTGTTGCTGTGTGCTTCCCTTCTCAGCCAGTGCAGCTTGTAACATTTAGCACTGAAGCATTTCTGTCCACCAGGGCCTGTATATAGTCTCCACACATGGATACAGTAGCTGATTTCAGCCACCTTTCTACATATTTGGTTTGGTGACCTCTCTCCTTGTTTCTACCCTTCCTCACTCTTTCTTGATACAGAGAACAGGGAGAAATGGGAGTACCCGGCTTTCGATCTGTTCTGACTTTTCTGCCCCTGTATTTGTAATGGTGTTTGTGACTTGCTGGTTTTGTTGAGGTGTCCCAGAAGCTACGGGCCTGAAGAAGCAGAGTGTTGTGTAATCTGCATGCTTTATATTGGTTTTCACTGTAGCCTGTCAAGTTAATAGACCTCATTGCATCTGCTCACAGACCTTGTGCTTTCCTGGTTCTTATCTCTCCTAGGTGTCAGCAGAAGCAGCAATAGCAGCTGTGTATCCTAAGTCTGGAAAGATGGAGTTGACAGTTCCGTAGTTGAGAGGCAACTTCCAGATACTGTAAGGAGAAGAGCCAGATTATATATAGGAAAAATGTAATGTCCAAGGCAGACAAAAAGAAAATTGTATCACTAAGACCATGCAGACATTTCCCTAAAACTGGAATTGTCTGTCTTGTGTAGAATATAATAGTATTTTTCCCCATCAAGCAGTGCATAATGCCTGGTGGAAATCATATTACTGACATTATAGATTAACTGAGATTAACTGCACTGAGAGTAGCAAGGACCATCTTAGCTGTGGGGAAAAATATTTGACATGGAACTGACTCATTCTAAGTCAGTTATTGGGTGGAAAAGGTTTAGCTTAAGGAAGTTATTTTCCTCCTTCTGGAGGAAATCTGAAGTATGGTAATGAAGATTATTTTTTTTTTCCAGTGAAGTCCAGCTGTAATAATTGAAATTGCATTTTTTGCTTTTGTTCCATTTCATTCGTTATGGTGTTCCCATTGAAGTTGGACTGGATGCCTTCTGGATCCCAGTGTCTCTGGGACTCTGGGAGCATTAACCAAGATTCTAAAAACTCCTTTTTCTTGAATGAATATGTTCAGTGCACCATGATACTTGGCTGTACAACTAGAGGCACCTGCAGGTGTAATGCTTTAACACTTGATGTTTTGGCATTGTATTAGTTTGTGTGAAGCCTACTTGCTTCAACCAGTGTATTTGTTACTGTTAGTGCTTCTGTTCTTGTGTGACCACAATTTTTGTGCAGAGAGTTTAAAACAAACAAACAAAAAAAAACCAACAAACCCACACAGACAGCAAAATCTTCAAGTCTGTTTAAACAACTAGGGTGTATGTGCATGACAAAGTTTCAGCCTCTGCCTTGTTGCTCAAGAAATCTTGATATCCTTAATTCATCTTTTACCAGGAAAACCAAATAACTGGTTTTGAACAGGCACTGAAATAACTCTGAAGAATATTCTGATTTGTATATAAGCTGCAGAGGTCTACATGGGTTACTGTATACACAGGAGGGCACGAAAGTATGGTTCCTGCAGATAATTTCTGGTTGCTGTTTCATCTAGATTGTTACTGATGTTTTGCAGTTATATGGGCAAACGTGTCAAAAACGTGTCAAACGTGCCCCAGTGATGTGTCATGTAGGTGTGGTGAGACTTGAAATAGTCCAGGATCCTTTTGGAGGAACTGCTGGAAGCTGTAGTGTGGCTGCACCTCTGATGTGGTTACATGCAAAGAGCACATCAGGGCTGTGACCTGTGTGCACCATCTCATTATCTCAGAGCTGCCGCCTTTCAAAGGGAGGTGATAAATGTGTTCTTGTTGGATGCCCAGATGCACCCAGGGAAATTGTTGGGTGCACAGCAGTGACCTGGTAGAGGTATACAAGATAGATTGCACTGCAGATCAGTTTATTCCTTCAGGGCAGACTGACACTGGAATAGCAATGTAAACAAATACACTGAAGCTAAACTGGTTGGTGCTTGGAATCATTCGTGAGTTTGGTTCACTGAGTCAGTGTGGGGCTGAGGTGTGGCTTAAGCACTGATGGTGGTGGAGTCATAAGCCGTAACCAGCATCTGCCCTGCCAAAGCACCAAGGAATTATCTTACCATGATGGTGTGTTTCTTGGACAGTAATTTGTGACAGAGCAAAGTCTGGAATGAAGATGTGCAAAAACTCTTGTGGTCAAGCTTGATTCTACCAAACAAAAATGTATATGTTCTTCCAGATTGTATTTGTATTCATTCTTACATGATTCTGAATATTGAACGATCCTTTGCATAAGTCAGTGAACCTCTGTGCACAGTGACTAAGTGCTCTATGATTCCTTCTCTTATCTCCTGTCACTTTTTCTGCCAGTGTAGCATATGCTGTTGTCACACAGTACCTCCTGCCAGACTGTCTCCTATTTCTCTGCATCTCACCTATATTCAGCTGCTTGAGTACAGCCATTACTCAAGGCCTACACTGAGAGGCAGACTATATAATACGAATGGAAGTAAATGATGACTTCACAATGTCCTAGTGGGGCTGTAGGACTTAATGCTTGCTTTACAGTACTAAATTGTAGAGGAGTTCAAGGAACACAAGATATTCCTCTGAATTCTCACAGCTGAGTTGGTTAAGGCTCTTCTGAAACCTGAAGACATGTGCTTTGTGGAATAAATCTTGAGTCAATGTTGCCATAAATCTCACTCAAGGCTTTCTGCTCTTTTCTCTGAAGCAGAATTTCATGTTGATCATAGGCTGTAACTCCCAATTAAACAGTTTTCTCATTTTAATGTTACAATTCCTATGGCCTCATCACCCAGTGTGTAATAAACAGTCATACTTTCTCAGAATTTGTGTAATGTCATGTAGAAATGAATGGTGCATTGAACCATGCAGGGACTTCCTACATGAAAGCAATGATAGGTTTGAGCCTACTGTAACTGATTTATGTTTCAGCTCCTCTCAGTGGTTTATGGGATAGAAGTTCATAAAACTGAGGAGCAGCTGAAGGAACATTGCTGGGATCCTCTGGTTGTGCCCATCCTTAGGGTTTAGGACAAGGAGAGAGACAAAGCCTGGAGTTTCAGCTGGAGTGAGGCTGCAAAGGGGCTTCCAAAGGAAGAGGCAAGCTGGCAGAAGCCTCCTCTCTGGGAAGTTTTGTCTGAATTACAGCTGGCCTCTGAGTCCGAGGTTCAGCCCAGTCTGAGAACTATATTTAGAAGTCAAATTCATTAGAACTTATTGACAATTAAGGTGGCTTGCCTTCTGTTCTCAGTTATCTCCAATGTCTCTTGCAAATGTTTTTGCTGCCTCAGTTCCCTTTTTTCCCCTCTTGGTTACAATTGTCATCTTTGTCATAGAACTTCTCACTTCGAATTCAGCTTGTCCTTGGTATCGCTCATCTCAGACCTGTCTTGCTATCAGCTGTGTAGCATTTCCCTCATTTTGTCATCCTTTCCAACTTTGGTGCTGACACTGACATGGGTGTTTTGTGATTTTTTTTTTTTTAAATAATTTTTTTTAGAGGAAATGCAGACAGGCAGTGGGTCAGCTGTGTAAAAAGGCTGTGTTGCAGTGTGATGTGAGTATGCTCAGAACTGAAGCTTCATTTCTTTGACAGGAGGGGGAGGCTGTGTGCAAGCAAAGATACTAGGCTGTTTTATTCCCTGCTGGAAATGAATATGATCTTCTAAAAGTTGTTCTTCTATTTGGGCTGTTTCTAGTGTTTTTACTTTCCTGCTCTTCTGTTTCCTTATTTGCAGTGCTTTACATTGCTGGTGAGACTTCAGAGGCTTCATTAGCAATTACCTGGGGACTCTCTGCAAGCTCTTTCCGACCCAGACAGTCTTGGATGCATTTTACCACATTCAGTTTCCCCTCATTATGTTTTAGAGATAAATGAAAAATTAATTGTGAGAGACTTCATGACCACATTTTCTGTTTCTGAAGTCTGATTTTTAAAAAGCCCTTTCATATCTATCACTGAAGGCATAATGTTTTGAATAAATACCTTTCCCTGTGTTACATCACTGTTCTGTGTATTAAGTTTTGTGATTGGAAAGGAATGGTCTTAACTTGAAAGACAGAAAGTGCCCAGACGGGGCCTGTTCAGAAATGATATGATAGTTAATTGATTGTCTCCTGGACAAAATGCTGATAAATGATTCATCTGCTCTTATCTCTTAGCCAGCAGGGACTCTGTGGTGTTAATGGAGTTACAGCTTCAGAAAGCAGTAGCGGGGCCAGATATTCTGCCACAACATAAAAGATGTTTTTTTTCAGTTCATTCTTTAGCCATCAAGGGGTTTGAGTTTTCTCAGTGTTCTGTACATGAGGTTTGTCATCTCCACAGCTTCCAAATGTACCTTTGTTGAAGCCCTACTTGAGTTTCGAGAAGGTGCTAGATACTTAATGATACATTTACTGTGCAAATATCATTTGGTTTGTTCCTTAAAGGCAGCTTAAGAGTGCTTCATATGCATGTTTCAGAAGAGACTGTTAGTCATTAAAAACGCTGAATATTTTCATGGTATAGGTTAACTGTAATAAGGTGAGATTTGTGCACGTATATCTGAAATTGGAGTGACACCTAGTGGTGGGTGTACTTAGAGCAGTATGGAACCTGATTGTTTTTTATCTTCATGAAATTGTTCTTTCCTCTGGTCTTTCTTGAGAAAATACAGATTTGCCTGAAATCCCTGTCCTCTGCTTTCCTGAAATCCCAGCCTTTCTCCAAAATACTTTTCCCTTCTGTTGTCCTCTGGGGTGCACTGCTTTGCCATTTATCACTGTGTATCACTTGGTCTTTCTGTTAATAGAACATAGACTAGTGTAGTACTTTATATAATTTTCCTGCTGAACAGCTGATAATGCATTTTGTGTCTCTAAATTAGAAAGTGAAGGAGATGTTCAGGATGTTTTCTGCCAGTATCCAGCTGATTATACAGCCTCTATTAAAGAGGTAAAGCTTTCACTTGGTCAGGCTCTTAAGGAAAAAATGACTGAGGAATTAGTAAGTGGGATTTGTGCCTGGTTTCTAAGGAGATGCAACATGAAGAGTAAATCCCTGGATGGAGATTTCAAGAGTCTCTTGAAGAGGTCTGGGAGGGCCAGTTGATCTGGAGGGAGCAGCTGATTTGGGAGAGGTAACACCGTGTCCTGTTGTACTTGCAAAGGACTGTAGGTTTCAAAAGGAGGTCCCACAGTCAGGAACCAAATGGCAATGACAACAATGAATCTGACAGACTAGGGAGAACAATCAGAGAACAGCTACTTTGCCAAAGGCATGTTGTGCCTCTGGGCACAATATTCAGTACTTGTGTGATTCTGTGAACTGCTTGAAACATCTTCGGATAACTCCAATTACCTGGAGAGGGATTAGCAAAGTGCAATTAGAAAATGAAGTAGGATACTGAGATGACAGGGACAGGTTAGGAAGGCAGTATCACATTATGAGAGCAGGACAAGACCAATGTCAGTGACACCAACAAGGACTTTGAATTTCTGCAATTTTCAGAAGCATAAATTAGCATCTGTCTTTTTCTACAAAGGTGGATGCTGTATGCTCTCCGTGGCTTAAGTTGGATTGTCAGTGTTTTCCAAATTGACTTATTTTAATTACAGGCAAATTCTGAAATTTTAACCTTGAATGCAACTTGTGGATGTGCCAGAGGCTATATAGAGAGATCTAGATATTGAGTTCATCTCAAATTATTGGAATAACAGCACTGTGAAAGTCTTTATATACCAAAAGCAAAAAAGTTACATTTCTGTCACCAGTGAATTGAATATATTCAAAGCCTGTGAAATCTGTCATGTATCATATTGGGGTGACTTCAAGGTGAGCTGATGCTCCGTACACTACAAAAGTTGTTGGAGATAAATAGTGGTTATGCTGTGACCTTGCCAGCAGAGGCCAACCCTGCACACTGTTGCATAGTTTGGGTTAGAGCAGAAGTCTGATGGTACAATGGGAAACTTGATTTTTATTCCTTAGTCTTGCCTTTTGTCCCTCTAAGAAGTCTTCTTACTACTCAAAACATCTCTGGCTTGCATATGACATGCTTGCTTCCTACTGTCCTTCACAGCATGCTCGAGGCACAACTAGTGCCTGCCCAAGACATGACCTCTGCTGGGAGCCTGCGTGGAGAGAAGGTTGAGCCCTGCTGTCACATCCTGCAGTAACACAGTTCCCCTCCCTCAGTCAGCCTGGTCAGGTGCCTGCCATCCCACTGCTGCTCCCAGTAGTGATGGGTGATGATAGATTTGACTGCTCCACAGTACTGATACAACTTTCTGATAATGGTGCTGTCCAATACTGTGATAGAGCATTAAACTGTCTTCAAGTATTTTAGGCCAGTGGGATGCTTCCAGTTAGTGTACGTGACAGATGATCATGTTGAAATTATATTGTGCTTAGCAGAAAACAACAGTTTAAATCAATTTAGTCGATGCACTGCTGTGTGAGCAGTATAATGTGATGCTCAATGAGCTGTTGTCAATACTGAGTCCACAAACACAGCACACCTATGTAGTTCTATACTATTTGTTGTGGTGCTACATTGCATTAGCTTTAAGATCACAGCCACGAGCCACAAGAGGGTCAGTCAAACAGCTATCGTTCCCCTTGTTCACCATCTCCTCCATGATTTTGCCTCTTTCCAAAATATATTGAAGTGCTTATGGGGAAGGTAAGTTTTTGGCTCAGGGTACAGCACTGAGTGCTTCCAGTACGCAGCCGCTTGCTGTAATGCTGGGCATTTATCAGTGTTCTCAAAGCTAGCAGTGGTCAGCTTTCTGGAAGTCTTCCTACCATATCAGCAGACAGTGTTTCAACTCTGGAAATGAAGCAGTACAATTTTACTTAGTGCTCTTTTAACAAGAGTGTAAGGAAGATGTCTACAGTGTCCTTTTTGTTTTACTCAGTGCTGTCAGAGTAACAAAACCTATCTCAGAACTGATGTGTCATTCACTTCAATCACTCAACATTTGCCATCTTATTAGGGATCAGTTGAGTGGAGCTGGTCTTTGTACTTTAATCATTCGGTTCTGGTTTTTGCCCCTAAAAGACTCAAAACTCAAGCTCTGGCTTGAGTTTGGCATGCTTGCTTCCTGTGATCCTTCACAGACACCAAGCTCAGTGATATTTAAGGTCCCTCCCGACCCATTCTATGATGTAGCTGCCCCTAAAGAGTGGGAGAATGTAGAGATTTGCCAGCACTTATGCCTGCTTTAGAAAAAGAAAGACTAGCTTTTGTCTTTAGCTTTGTGCACTGGAAAATGCCTGAAAATTGTGAAAACCACTTTAGGCTGAGATATTACTTTCAACTTACAGAAATTAGTCCTCACTTTTGATGCTGTCAATGTCTTCAGACAGTGGGGGTTATGAAAGGCATCTGTGTTTAAAAACAAAACAACCAAACCAAACAAACCAACAAAAAACTTCAGTGATGTTCTTGTCTCTTGGGTAGTCAGACAGTAGTCCCATACAACATAAACTATAGCGTTTCATTTCACAGTTACAGCTTCTGTGTTTAACAGTGTTGTATCTCAGCTGATTTTGTCTGCTGTGCAGCTGTAAGGAAGTCTAATGTGAAAGACTCATGGGCTTCAGTAATTCTTCAAAGCTTGGTGATTTCCCTGAAGGGTTTATAGTGGTTAAATGCGAGGTATCAATTACCCATTTTCAGCAGCTCCAAGGTTCTTCTTCCTCCACAGAAATTGAGGTTTGGATCCTGGAAGCATACTTTACAAGAAGACTTTAATTCCTTAAGGTCTTTGTGAAGCACTGCCCGTTCTTGTTGGTATATGGCAACAACCTGCTGATTAATGCTGTCCCCAAGGTAAATTATCCCATGTTTAGATGCGTGATTTGGATAACAGTGATAGAAAGGACTAAGAAATACTTGGGAACTGCAGGACTATTCCAGAAGTCTCTGTTGTAGCAGAACTGCTAAGTCATGGCCTGAAACAGTGATAGAGCACCTGGTGGGAAGGCAGGGCCAAGCCATGGGAGCTCTGGTGTATGCAATGCACCTGAGTGACCAGAATGGGTGAGACCAGGATCCATCCCTTCACAGACCTCATTTAAAGGTTGGCAGTGGAGATGAGGATATCATGCTGGAGATCCCTGCCTACTAGAGGCCTTCTAAAGGTAAGCAGTTTTTTTTTCTTTGCTTTTGTATCTACAACTGCAGCATTTGGGCTTGTTCTCATTTGCTGCAGCCTAGGATTGTGCTACTCTGCTATTATTGCTGTACTTTCCATCATGTTATAGCATTACAGCACTGCACTGTGTAGTCAGTGTTGCTGAGACGCTGTACTTTTTGTAGGATAAACCTTCATAAGTACTCTCAGATAGCACCTCTTTTTTTGATTCCCAGAATAAATGTAGTCCAATACTGGAGATACAGGAGAGCATGCTGCATGTAGTAGCTGCTTCACCATGTTCTTTCACAACAATGTTTCTGTTCCTCTGCTAAGATTCATTTGCTAAAACCAAATTGCATACATATACGGTCTTGTAAAGGAATTCATTCCTATTCTCACAGTAGGATAATCTTGCTCCTTAATTGTAGATTAAAAGTTCTTGGTCCTTCATTAGTTATTTGCATTTCATTTCTCGACTCACAGCATTCATGCACAGTAGAACATCTGCCCAATCCATGTGCTTTTGGGTGCTCTTTGTTTCATGACTAAAACTGGATCAAAATAACACAAAGATTTTGAACCTAGAAGATAAGTATAAATTATACACAATTCTTGAAGGTATCAGTGAAGTAGGAAACACTTCACTTTTTATAAGCTATTAAAATATTGATGAAAGTTGTTGAACAAAAGAGCATTCGGTCTTCACACTGATGCATCAGCTACTAGCACTCTTAAATCCACATGTTATACTCAAAAGTTTTTGTGTGCCTTCTCAATTCTGTATAGTTTTGTACTCATCATCTGAGTTTCAGGGTCAGCAGCCAAGCAAC